CGTCGTGCCAATAAACGCTGAAGCGGACAGCCAACAATGCTGTCCGAGTTCCTCGTTCAACACCCACAGTCTCAATGTCACGCAACTTCGCAGGGAGCGCTTTTCGACGTGCTGACCTGAAGACCGTTGACCGACTTCCCCGCGCGCACACACGTGCGTCCAAATATTCGCAGCTGCCAAAGAGCCACTTCAGCAGGCCACCCCTTAACCGACTCAGCCTGGGTAACTTAACACGGCACCTCCTTAAGCATTGCGACACACCAATTACACACAACTTGAAATTCAAAAACCACAAGTAGCTGTCACCACTCGCCCAACCTCCCTTGGACATGACTGGACACAATCAACAACTAGCTCTGACTTCGCCAGTCGCCACTGTTGCCTGAGATAGCAATGCAGGGTTCTGTGCTCAATAAATCCCTCATTTTAGTGACTTCTGCCTATTACTTGCCACCTAGGATTTGGCCTGCAGGGTTGTAGGGCCATAAGCACAACTACTGCTTAGACCCTACGATCGCATCTTCTTCTGAACTGCTTGATGGAATTCGCCTGTTCACTTCTATTAGCAACCCATCCCACTGTTTAAAATGACAGAGAGCAGAGGCTGCTAGAAGTTCTTCTGACGGTCTGACTCCCTGTCATTGAAAAGGCAGACTTTATAGGCGAATACTGTCAAGGTAAGTGCTATTACAAAAACCAATGCTGAAGCAAATTCTGGTACCTAGCATCAAGGCCATACTAAGCATTCACTTTCGGATAGGCAGGCGAGTTACAAAACCCCGTGCTTAGATATTATGTATATCTTACGCTGTAGGTCTATTTTTGCGTACTTTACTTTGTTTAAGAAAAAAAATCGCGGCTTTTTGGAAAAGATGCACAAAAGGTCATTCATTGTACTCCTTTGTGAATAAATTACATCTTCGAATGTACATCGGACTACAATATAATTTGACGAACCATGTGCCGTTACAAATTTCAGGTGCGCACTGAGAAGAATCCATAAATCGCCGAATTTATAAAATGCCTTTCTTTGGAAGCAGTTCTAACACAGTAGTTCGTATAATTGTGTTGGCCAGCGTACTTACGAGTAAACGACTCTCATTAATTAAATGGCTTGTGCGTACCTTCGATTACCCGGAAGAGTAATTAGTTCAATCCCCAACGCGCTTGGGACTTTTTGTATGGGGTGCAGGGCCGTTAGGTTACAATTTTAATGA